CACACCAGCAAGGATCTGGGCTGTGTGGAGCCCCTGCAGACAGACAGACAGACAATCATATCTACTTTTTTCACGGTCTGTCTACTGGTGTCTGGGTTATTTGCCTTTCCTAGTGGAGGGCTGCCTTCTGATTTGGAAAAAGGACAAGCTTTTGCTGCAGCTTGTTTTACTGTATAGCTACTCTGACCCAGGGAGATGATAATGCCATAGAATTATAGACTGGTTAGGGTTGGAAGGGACCTTAAAGATCATCTAGCTCCAACCCCCCAGCCATGGCCTTCACAGGCCATGTTGCAGGGCCTTCAAATGATGGAGCGGTCGCTGTGAACTCATGGGTATCACAGAGAGAAAGGGAATGGTCAGGTGGAGACTGTGTCCGGATAAACAAGAAAATAGCACTTTTCAGGCAAAATCCATTGCAAAGAACAAAAGACGGATCAGGAAGAGACTTGTCCAGGACTGAGAGGTAAAAGGGGTCAGGGAAGCCTGAACAGGGAAAGACAAAATCAAGAAAAAAGGAGCTGAAATCAGAAATATTTTAAGATTAGGTGACCTCAAATGTAAATTACTCACTTGTGGTAAGTTTCCTTACCAAAATACATTAACTAATAGTCCTTAACCTCCTGCTGCCAGAACAGGCGATCTGTCTGACACAGGCTTCCTCTGCCAAGGAGCGACCAGTTTAAACTCCATTTCAAGTAAACAGTGGGAAACACCCCGCTTCCTTTTGTCAGATTACTACACTCAGCTACATTGTTTTCCAGAACCAATTTCCTTGGCTGCAGCTAGTAAGGAAGTCCATCCATCCCTTTTGTTTCCTTAAGGAAACCCAGATTAGCAACACCAGAGCTGCAATCCTATTCTTTACTGCCCAGTTCTGTCTGTCCAGGCGGCCGCTCTTCCCTCTCACAGGCAGAGTGACTCAAAGCACCAAGCTCCTGTCCTTCCCGTCTCCTTCGAGCCATCCCTACATATCCCATGGCAGAATGACTGAGGATCCCTTGGAGAGACACTGATCCTTTCAGCACATGGAAACTGCAGATTGCTTCTCTTGCTTCAACACGAGGGTTGCAGGAGCTGGGGAGCTGGTAACAAAACTTGCTACCCACTCATTTTCCTACTAAGAAAAGGCAGACAGCCTGCCTCAGACTCTGTCTAAGCAGAATTTTAATTTATTTTTTTTTTTTTTTTAAGATAACACATGAAAGTTGCTGAATGTCAGATGGCATGCTTGCCAACCCAGCACCAGTGAGCTTTTGGACCTGCTGGAAACAATATTAAGTGAGTTTCTTCCGGCACACAAGATGATCAGCACACTATTAGGCAGCTGACTGTACAGAAATAGACCTGCAGAAGGCTGTGGAGGTTTCCAGCTGGATGTCATGAGATTAGGTCCATGGAAATAAAGATACCATATTCAAAATGAAAAATGGCATGAGGTCCCAGAGAGGAGGCCCGACCTCAGGCTGGGTGGTCAGCGTGGCCAAGCAATGAGAAAACACCCAAGGCAAAAAGTCATCCTCATAGTGCTATCAGATGTGATACTTTTTTTTTTTTGTAAACTCCCTCTTTCTTAAAAACCCAGCCCTGCCTGCTGGGGTTTTGAAGACCCTCTCTTTATCACCATGGCCATGCATAGAAATTGTTATCTCTAGCAGACACTTCACCTTCCTGCCCTATATGCCAGCACAACTTAAGACCCAGAATAATGGCATTTTTGAGCATGCCTGGGACAAAAAGCACACAAACAGAGGACACAGCTGTAGGAATTAAACAATTAATTGTGACTTGAAAACAAAAGCAAACATCTTGACAGGCTCCGAGAAGTAGGCTGTCAGCCAAAAAGAACAGCCATTTACAGAGAACCTTGAGGTTTCCCTGAGGAAACCTGCTGCTCTGCATTTGTTAAGAGTAGCCAATCCTACTTTCTCTAAGGTCATTCAACCCTGCTATGGTACCTCAGCTCCAGCCCTCCCTGTTTGGCTCCTGCCCCACTCTGCCAGCACAGCTCACCTCATGACTGGTGGGCCAAGCAACACTTTACCCAACGCTGCCAAGACCTCCTAGGCCACAGCAAGCAGCCTTTCTGTTCTTCAACCTGGGAAAACCAGTTTGCCATGCACCATGCTCAGGGCGGTGATGCTGCTGTCTTGCTACCTTCCCTTTATTCATGGAGAGGTGACCTTGCTAATCTCAGAGTGCCAAACTCCCAGGAGAAGAAACTACTAATTCTCATCACTCAGGGAGGTACATCAGCAATGAGACTTGCCCTTCTGGCCAACATCTAGTAGGAAGTTCTTCAGAAGCCATCAGTAGCAACCATTTGATTCCCTGAAAAATCAAGAGTGAGAATTTATGTTGCAATCTCAATACCTCTGGAAATCACTGCCCATTCCATTCCATCAAATCAACTGGTAGAACTCAGACAAGTAATAAACTGCTGCCTTTCACTAGTATTGCAAGACCTAGGACGTAATCCCATGCACTCAGCTCCTTTAGGGAGATAGCTTCATTGCCACGTCCTGCTAACTAGATCCAAGTTTCTCACTATCACAACTTTTAAATAATATTGCAAGCTGATGCCATGACAAACAAAAATTATTGTTGTTTCACAATTCCCCTCAAAAGTTCATGTCTTAAAGAACACACAAAGTCACTACTGCCTTTCTCCAAGGAATCACTCATGCACTTAGAGCTCATGCATGATGCTTCTCTCATTGATTTATAAAAGCTCACAAGCAGTGTGCTACAAATGAAAGGAATCATGTGGCCTTATGGTCAAAATTCCTTTATTTGGCTTCTTTTCAGCAAATGCAAGTAAGAAATTAGGACAGCTGTACATCAGTATAACACATAACTTCAGATAAAGAATCATTAAACAACAAACACGACACAAACAATACTACTAAAAATATAAAATACAATTTTTTTTTGTTGACAGAAGTCATTTTCAAACCTAAAGGAAACCGCAGCACTGCTGTGGTCAAAAATACCTCCTTAATTTATCTCAGAAGTTGTTCTACTTAATTGTTTTTTTAAGAAAAAAACCCCAAACTACCTTAAAAACCCCCTTAAAGTCCCACTTTTTGTACAGAAAGGAAGAAAAGTGTAAATCAAAACTATAAAAAAAAAATCCCAATTTGCAATGAAGTGTTTCTGGTATGCCAAACAAGCAGAAGAAAAAAACCAATGGACCAGTTGGTGTTTTGGGTAGATCAGTTTGTGGATTTTAATTAGAAAAAGTGAAATATATAAATAAACAATTCATATTGCACCTACAACAGTAACAGCAAATATCACCCCTCACGTCCTCAGTAATACATACAGACATGTATGCACACACACACAACTTTTTGCCATACTCTAGAGAGGCCGCTGCTCTGAAACCAATAAAATATTGGTTCTGGACACTTAGTCATGAGCCTTGCATCTGCTAGATCTTCTCTGTTGATTTTTTAGATTGACAGTTTATACTCTTGGTAAACATATGACATAAAAAGCACAATACAAAACACTATGAACATAGTAAAATGGAATATTTCAGACGCACAAACAAATGCTAGTCAAATCCGAAAGACAACAGGATGCTGGTAGTGATCTCAACGTGATGACAAACACTAAGAGTGAGAAACACCTTAAACATTAGGACTTGTCAGCAGAATGAAAACCACCAGAGCTCTCCTTGCAGTCCTCCCACCTGTCTATTCTGTCACCAAAGCAGAGTCACAAAGTCGGTACGCCCAGGGGGAGGTTTGTTTTTAGGAATCTTCACCCCATGATGCAGGCACAGAGCCCCAGTGGGACACAGGGAGGCAGAGGGCACGCTGAGGGTCCCACCCCCCAACAAATGCGAAGAGCTGCAAGGCAATGCCCAGGAGCACTCTGCTCTCACAAGCAGCCCGCTGCCACCCAGCAGGCAGGGGACACAGGAACCGGAGCATTAAGCCTGGGAATGAGCAGATCTGCAGGCTTGGGCAGTGAGGAACAACCAGGGGTGGGGGGAGCGAGGGGCTCCGATCCTGCCTGGAACCGGAGCGGAGTTGGGTCCCAGCTCCTAAGAGTAGTGCAGTGTCTTTCTCTGCTACCAAAAACATGACAAAGTAGTAAATTCTGCCTCTCTAAAATTCCTCACCGATACCCTTACGTTCACAGCAGTGGCACATGATAGCTCAGAGTGTAACTCCCACAAAACAAGGTCCAAGTACAGAATAAAGGCTTTTGACCAGCAGAGCAATTTGTCTGTGTTTAAAGAGACATAACCAAAAAGGACAAAGACAGGGGACAGGGACCATCTTTACATAAGATGACCATGAGAGCTACCGACAAACCTAGACCGTACATTTTGACAGTTAAGCAAGGGCTGGGACAGGATATTAATGGAGTTATTTCATTAAAAACAGAAATAGAATGACAGCCAAAGAGGAAGAAAAGGAAAGATGGTGTCCTGGTTTGAGGTAAAACAGAACTAATTTTCTGTTCAGTAATTTTACTTTTTTAGCTAGGCCTCTTCTGACTTAACTAAACTCTGAAATTAACAGCATATTGTTCAGAAACTGTTCACTCTCACAGTGATAAGACCTGATTATACCAAGGAATGGTATGCAGAGAGGCCCCTGCTTAGACTTATTGCTCTAACAACCAAGGTCAGGCCAATTTGTTATTTGCCCCGTTGGAGGGTTGGAAGCGGAAAAGCGTAGAGGGGTCCCACCTGTAGGGAGGAAGGGACGGGACAGGTGACCCAAAACTGACCAACAGGGTATTCCATCCCATCCGCATCATGCTCAGTATAAAAGCTGAGGGATCAAAGGGTCAACTCTCTTCCTTCAATGGCCGATGTCCAAGGAGGACCCTGTCTGTTCATCTGCCTTTGATCCCAATCCAAGCGCTCCTGACTCCAGATCCGGAATCTGGCTCCTGTCCATCACCAAGTCCAGCCTGGGACTTTCCCCTGCGCCTGCTGGTGACGTGATCATCATCCTGGGAGCTTGATACAGTGGAGATGCCAATACTTCCACTACTAGGCTTTGCTTCCATCTCCTCCTCACTCATATTAAAAAAAAAAAATCCACCACTTCAGGATTTGAAAGAAAAGCCAAATAAAATAAATTACTTATAACTTTTCTTTCCCAAATATGGCAGCTATTGCCTCTAATCACCAGCCTTCTGGAATCCTATTGCTCTCCCTCAATAATTTTGGCAGATTTGGTGTGGTTTGAGTCCTGTGGTTTTGAGTCCAGCAGGTCTCTCCAGAGAGAGTTAAGCAATACATTCATGTGTACACTGAGGAAAAGGAGTGGGATCAGCTGGATAAGAGAAGGAAAACCAGATGTCAGGAAGAGGGCAATGAACGAAGAGTTGCTACAAGTGAAATTGCAGACAGAGGTTTGTAAAAATTAAAACCCCCTTTACTGTGGGAGCAATTAGGCACTACAAGAGCATCTCCAGAAAGCTTGCAGAGCCTCCATCCATGGACATTTTCAAAACTCAGCTGGAAGAAGGCAAATACATTTTGCACACTAGCAGCACCAAGAGTGGCACGTTCACTGGGAAAAGCAGATTTTGCCTGGCAGCAGAGGAGCAGACTAAGCGGTCTCTATGGTCCTATTTTTTATGAGTGAGCACCTAGACCGGATAACAAATATCGTCCTAGTCTTCTCAGCGGTCAGCTCGGTGTCTGGGAAGGGTAGTGTATGTGATGCATTTCCTTTTTTACTGCTGTTTCTCTCCAGCCAGTCAAGTTACTAAATGGAGTGTTGACTTCAGGCTGCTGGGCTGTAATGATCTGGTAGGTGAATGGAAATCCTCTAGGATCCTAAAAAATAAAGAAAAAAAACCAGGAAAATGGATTAATTGTGTTGCTGCCTAAGCCTTGCTGAGCAGGCTGCCTGCTGTTGGGTGGAGGGGAGGTGAGGAGAAATGCGCAGTGGGGAAGGTGGGGAGGAATGGTTTCAAACTGCCCTTTGGTGAACGACCGTAGGACTTTTCCTGCTGTACAAGTAGCACATCTTCCTAAACCACAACAAAAAAGGCTTCAGTCTGTGTTCCCCCTTGCTTCCTTTGTTCATGACAAGTTTTAGGTAAGGTAGCATCTAAGACGACCCCTTATCTTTAAAAGCACAGGTGCACGCCTGCCAGACAAAGTATCCTGACATAGAAGGATCTGTTTGCCTAAACCCAGAATACCTGACGCAGCACCGCTTGCCCAGAGGACCACAGGAGATGTCTGCAGAGCCACAGGCAGCACCGTTGCCAGTGGGCAGTATGCACTCCATCCAGCTTGCCCCACGCCGACAACATCCCCCTGCTAACTTCTCAAAATGGTTATTCAGCCCTCATTATTTTGTTATGCTCCAAGGAGGAATAGCCTTAAAAGTGGTGGAAATTTCTTTGGGAGTATATTTATGAGAAAGACTGAAAACAACAGTTATGAAAATGTCATGCTATGCACTATACAACAGCAAAGACTGAAAACAACAGTTACGAAAATGTCATGCTATGCACTATACAACAGCATTTTCTCCCTGGGTGGGGACAAATTAGTCAGCTCACCAACACCCCATTCAAAGCCATTTACTACCAGCAGAAGGGCAAGAACTGGTTATAAATCATTTGGCCTTTGGAGGCAGCCAAGTGACCCTGCTTGGCAGAAGCTACCAAAAGTATCTGCCAGTGCAGAGGGAAGTACACTATTGAAAAAGGTGTTTTACAACCCAGGTAGTTTATATCACACAAGATACCAATTCACACGTGAAGTTCGGTTTACGATCGCTGAAGAAAAACTGGCAGTTATTACAGTACAAACACAACAACAAACATTTATTTTGAAGTAAACTAATGAAACCAGAGAAGGAGCAGCAAGCACGTGGTGGCACTCACTGCTTGTGCTGCACAGCATCATCAGCCAGCCCTTAAGCTGACTGTGGCCATCTGAACCACTGCTACACAGCGCACACCAGAGCCTCCCCTCTGCCTCAACATCGGCATGGCTTGAGATTCACTTCCTTGCATCTCTCAAAAATTTAATAAGGTACCTTGAAAGTCACTGGACAATGGTAGTGTCCCTTTTCGAATGCGGAAATTGGCAGCTGAGAGCAAAGCCTTACTGCACATTAAAACAGCAGAAAAAATTAAAATGACATTTCCAAGCAAAAGACATGGAATGGGTATGACAAATTTTCAGAATTAATATTAATCTATTTGCATACAATAAGAATCATTTACTAAAAAAAAAAAAAGAAAAAAGCAAAAAAAAGAAATAATGCATTTTCTGTTTCCTACTAATACAATACTAAATCAATTGGAAAAGTTATTACACTGTTCTTTGCTTTCATTAAACTAAGGCCATCAACACCTGTTCAAGCAATAGTTCAGATTTTTAAACAATTTATCTGAAGACAAGGTTACGTGAAGGTTTTTAAAAAAACTGCTATGAATTTACTACAAAACCAAACATTTTTATTTTAATTCTGGAAACGACACACACTGCAGAATTCAGAATATGATAGTGAGATACAGAATATACAAAACCCTAAATGGATTTATAAACTGTGAAAATCAAACCAACGTTCCTGGTTGATTATATGCAAATGAGATTATTTATTGAATATATAAACAGTTTGATATTTCAGAAAGTCATTCTGATGTTAAAGACCCAATTTATGACACTACTTTTATGTGGCTTTTAAAAAATAACATATGGCAAACTTACTTTTTGTGTAGAAGAGTAAGGAGGTGGTTTCCATCTCCTTATCACCTCCCTAATCGCCCCGCATACAGCCAAAGTATTTTGCACAGGAAAAATATTTCACAATCGAGCACATAAATAATTATTACCAAGGAAGTAAATGAGAAATGGAAACAACAAGGCAACTATTCAGATATCACAAGAGTGCTATTTTTTCCTCCCTTTCAGTTTCCAGCCATTTTTCTAGTTATACACAAACCCCTATTGTCGAAAGGAGAATGGAGAACTGGAAAATTACTTCATAATGAAATATGAGCTATGATGCACAAGTCAGAAATTGTGTTAATCACACACAGTAAAGGCCTCCCTGTTTGCAAAGAAAGGGCTTCATTTTTAGTAGCCTATACTTCGACACCTCTCTTTATACGGGGAGGACAATATCTGGGATGTTTCGTACATTGCTACCTTCATACTGTCAGTAGCAAACAGGATTTATTTCATCCTTCCAGACAAAAACTCAAGCCATGCTCCAGGAGACGTGAATTCATCCACCCACCTTCCCTTTCTTCCTCTTCTACCACTCCTCCTCCCAGCTTTTCTCCAAAATGGGAAGCAGGATGCGGAGCATGCTTTCCCCAGCAAAACATGCTGGGGCAAAACACAATGGGAAAATGAATAAAGCATCAGCCATGCCTGCCCTTTGCAATGAAAAGAGGTAGCACTAAATCATGAAAAACTTGGAAAGAACACCTATGCTCTCTCTATATAAGATGCAAACTGGAGAGTACTTCCAGGCACGTTTCTGTGCAAAGAAAATTCAGTGACTTATAAGGGAACAGAAGCTGTCTGAAAGCAGTGTATGTTTAAACCCAGAAAACACATTCACTTGGCTTGTGAAATATTTCTGTCTGATGGGAAACCTGACAGCAGAATTACCCCTCTCCTGACGTTTTTGTATGGTTGTTTTTGTGGGGGTTTTTTTGTTTTTCTTTCTCCCCTCATTAACTCAGTTTAGGTCTGTTTGGCTACTATGTTTTCACACTGTGGTTGGGTTTTTTGGGTGGTTTTTTTGGTGTAGTGTTAAGAATGGTAAAGGAATGAGGCTGTTGTTAACATACCACTGCACATTTTTTCTATTCTGGGTAGTTTAAATTTGGACAAATATAATCTCCTACTCATGATAAAGCCACACTTGAGAAGAAACCAAAGGCAATTCTAAAATGAGTCTCCCCAGCTGGGACACGACAGCCAGAGACCCGTTCCTCTGTGAGCAGAGTGCATTATAACCATCTGCCTCATGAAAGAGGGAGTTATGTCCCAAGTTCATCAGCTGAAAGACTGGTATTTAGCTGTCACTTTAGGAAAAATTACTCTGAAAAGTCTCCTAAAACTGAGCTGCTACTACGTTGCTCTCAACCACCTACTCTCCTACTATTAAGAAAAACAGCTGGATGTCAAAGCAAATCTACTGAAGAAGCAAGTCAAGTCCAACACACAAATAAGAATTGCCATAATTTTTAAGCCAAAGCTTAGAAACACAGCCTTCACCACACTGAATAAGCAGGAGAGGATACTGCTACAATGGCTCTTCCAGAAATAATTTCTGACTTTACTACAAACAAAACAATGGAAAATGTGTGCAAGTAATTATTCTTGTAAAGTTTCCCAAAGAACTGGAATCTCTTGCACAAGACTTCCATATTTTCCAATATTTCAGGACTTCTTTGGACACTATAACTTAGGTTTCTGATACCTACATATTATATCTTACCAGCCAAACTGCTATTTCTAGCTTAATAGACCCAAATCTATATTATTTGAAGCAACTTCCAAACTTAAAAAAATAATAATCCGGTGCCTTAAATTCCTTTTCATGGTATTAAGTGATCTCTAGCTGATAACAAGGAGGTACTTTCAATCTGTTTTATAGCACTTGTGTAACATCTGAGGTACTCTGAGGTTCAGCATCTCTTTGAAATACAGTTCGTTGGCTGTATTCAGATGCTAACATCTTGAAACAAAGACTTTAATGCTGCTTAATCTAAGGTCCATAAAACTTCCACCTGAAGGAAAACCTGAATGTTTCAATTTCCAAACAGGAAAAACCCATTGCTATGTTGGCACTTTTTACAGAACAGATTTTTTGATCTGACCTTGTCTCTTCTTCTATGACTTCAGGTTTTCTTCTATCAGATTCACCCAACCTACTCAGCTTTCTTAGGTTCACACATATTCAACAACAAGCTCCAAGAATTTTTGGTTCTGTTGTTATAGCAGCTTCTTAAATACAAATACATTATTTGACCATTTCTAAAGCTTTCCACTTAGCAAAACATGTATAAGCTACCCAAGAGGGATCAACTTACCAATGTTTAAAATGAAAATAATAAAAAAATCATGCTGGCCTTTATACCCATTTGTGAACTAACCCTTCCTCATAGGCCACCACAAGCCACCAGAAAATCATTTACATGGAATTTTATTCCCCTGCAGACTGCTAGGTTCTGAGAACTGACTAGAAAGCCTTTTAAGGCTGAAATAATATTATCCTGCAAGCCTTGAAATAAAAAAACTAATGCTGTGGAAAGCATTCAGGTTGGAGACATGTATGCAATAAGTAAATCACAGGAATTTATTCAGAGTAACAGCCTTAATTTTGCTTCAATCCAGGCACTTCGCTTGTTAACTGGACTGCTTCACGTTGGCATGGTCTACAGTTGAGCTCTACTAGTTGAGCCATGAAGGAAACTGTGTAACTTTGTACCAGCAGAAATCTCCTTTTACTGAGAATTCTCCAGCATGCATGAAGTTATGTCTGGTGATTCATTGCAGACTATTCATCACACTTAAATTGAGAGATAGGTATGCTAGGTTTGCCTCGCTGCTTGGCAGAGGATGAAGATGTGAGTTTTTCCAAAACTTTTGCATCAGCTCTCACCATAAAGGCTGCTCAGTTTCCAAACAAGTGACTTTTTGCCAAACATTGTGAAGGTGCTTCACTTGGGATGTTTTCAGGGAGAACCAAAATGTATATATGCTCTCTAACTGGTACACAAGGCAAGTATCTGAGGGACAGGAGATCAACTTTGAACCCCAGCTCTTCAACTGATTCCCAAGCGTCTACCATGGAGAGAAGGGAAACAACAAAAATAAAAGCAGAACAAAACCCAACCATACTCTAAACAGCAGAAAGAGAAGAGAAGAATATTTGACCGAGAAGGGTCCATAGCCTTCCAGATAAAAAGCTGTCTTTGAATTTAAAAAACAGGCATCTTGACAAGACTGGAAAGGCTTTGCTTGTTATCTAGTGCAGAATGAAAACAAGTATTGAGCCCCAGATAATGACCTCAGACAGACATTGATATCCTCCAGCCAGCACTATTAGCTCACTATTGTGTTGTTACAAAAACCGTGTCCAGAAATATGTACGTAGGCGCTGCTCCTCATTCCAACACAGTCTGAGGATAATAGAGAATAAAACCAGAAAAGGACTTTCTGCAAGATGTTATTCTCTTCTGGGTCAACTGACTGCAACCAATGCTTTAAAGAGCATAAACAGATTTCACAGATGAATGGTGAAGAAACAAGTAGCTGCAAAAGCAGACTAGGGTCCACAGTGTGCTGCTAAGTGAGAGAGCTAAGGAGGTGTAGGGGATTTCCTTATTACAATGTGGCATTTTTGGAGGGGTAATGCACTCTAAACATAACATCAAAAATTACTGTAACTCCCAGGTATTCTTGGCTTTCTAAAGATTTGGCCAGGAAAGTGACAGTGGAATCATAAACAAGATAAATCATAAGTAACTTTCAGTAGTTGGCAGCAGAGAGCAACCAGAAAAAATAAAATTAAATACAAAAAATAAATCAGATGGTGACTGAGTGATCAAGCTGCTCCAGTATTGGAGTTTTGCAACAAACTTATTAACAAGGCATTCTGGGAAACAGAGGTGCATTAGGAAGATGGACTACACATTTCCTGAAGATGGTCAAAATTACTCTGGAAAAAGTGATGCTGCCTTTATGCAAAAAGGATCCAGGCCAGCACATTACATTTTCAAAACTCAAGACCATTTTTTCCTTCACAACAGACAAGTCTGGTACTCGTGGAAACACTTCCTTGCCTTATATCACATTACCATTATGAGGCAAGTATCTAAATACTGAGGAACTGAGTTAACATGTGCTGGTGTTTCTAAACATGTTAGTAGAATTAAAGCCAAACGTAGCATTTTGATCTAGTTAAGAAAGAGTGAAGCTACCAACGACCATCAAATTTCTGTGATTTCTGAAGCCTAAGGCCTCCCCCCTCCTAATTTTTTTCTTTTCATTCAGTTGTTAGTAATTGAGACTAGAAAGTTCGGTTCATCCATGATCAAGTCATCACAAATAGAAGAACATTGTACTGACTGCAATTTCTCCTTAATTCATCATTAGGAAGCAGACTCATATGCCAAGCTTGAGCACGCTTCCCCAACCTATTATAAGGTTTGTCTTAAAAATACAAAGAAGGTGCTACTACCAGAAGAAAGCCCTTTCTATGAGGGCGTGTCCCTCTGCGTGAGCAGGTTTCTCTCCAACCTACTTCTTCTGCTAAAAATTCTTTGAGGATATTTGCACTTCTGTGGCCCTCCATGAAAACGTGACAAAACAGGTAATTACTTCTGCTGAGACTTCTTCCTCAAAGCAACTACAAGCAGCGTGTCCTGCTCTACTTGGATCCTCCCCTCACAATTTGTATTGTCCCTTGGCAGTAGCACTGGGAAAACAGCTCTTAAAAATTACATGCAACTGAGGCAATGTCTAATAACTATAAACACATTATTATAAAGTTTACTAGTCCAATATGACAGTAACGTACCCCCTGATGGCATCTCAAAAAAGTCTCACTCTTCTTTGCAGATGACCAGACCTCATTAAGGGGTCTACAAAACCCATGGGTTTCCATGTATCAGTGACTGACTCACCACTTCAAGTCCTCCTGCATACCCTTGGCCTCCAGCACAGCATGATCCCAATCAGAACTATGACCATCACCGCAATAATCACCACAGTAATGATCAGCCAAAGCGATGAAGATCCCTCTTCTGTGAAGAGAAAATGACAAAAAAATACACCAAACTAAGCTAGTTTATATAGGAAAAAGAGCAAAAAGAGCCAAGAGGGTGTGTGATTGGTGACAATGGTTCTTCATCGAAATTGTGAAAGTTAATACTAAGCTACATGAAAACAGCAATTGCTCAAAAGAGAGAGCGAATGTGTGTATCTTCAAAGATAAACCTGCCTGCCCACAGAAAATGCTTTGTGAGGAGCAGATGTGTTCCTGTTCACCCACAGCAAAGAAACCTGTCATTCCCATACCTGATATGGTAGCTGGCATGTGTACATAAGCAGAACTTTATACAAATCTTGACACCTTCTGAAGAGTTGTTTTGTTGTGTTTGTTTTTTTTTTTAATCCAGAATTTGAGGGTTTTGATTGTAAAATAAAAGTTATTCCTTTTACTGTTAAACACTTATCACTGTTGTAAAGGCTAAATTAATTTTCAGAAGACAGGCTATGTTTTGATGCCTGCAAGTAGTTCTAGCTAACATCTGAGCATAAATGTCCCTCCCTGGTCAGGTATCAGCCACTTCATGTGACTGCCATTAATCAAGGTGGTAATACAAAGGTTCATTTCAGTGCTCACTGACATTAGCTAGAAAACTTTCTGAATTATAATTTATTTGAATCAAGCCAAAACTATCACATCTTTTAACAAACCTAGGTTGAACTATTCCTTTGAATTTCTCTTTCTCTAAATTATAAGACTGTTAAACCAACAAGCAATTACCTGATTTTTCATTCTCCTGGCAAGGAATAACAATGGTCTTAGTTCCCTGCTTTCTGAGATATACATTTCCTTTTTAAAAGGCCAAAACAAGAGAATATTGCATTTGAGACAGTAAAGAAAAGATTTATTATGCTTTGTCAATTAGTATCACTCAGAATTAAGAACTAGTTTGCTTTTGAACTTTTACAGAGAAGATACTAAAAGTCAGATCTTACTCTTTACTACTATTAATCTAACAACCGCTTCTTGAGCATTTAATTTAGGAATTAACCTACAATCTCAAATGTTTTTCCTGTCTTCCTAATTTACAAGTAGCCCTCCTTTTTAGCTCTGGATTTAGAAACATGTGAATTTTAAATCACATAAGTCAATGCTCCTGCATGAACTGAGCATGGTACCTCAGCTTTTAATGTCTCTATTTCTCAGGTACAGAACTGTGGTGAAAGTCTTCCCAGCACAAGAGAATGTTGGAAGAAGAAATGAATTAGCACTACAAGGTATTAAGATGTTACATTGACATATTTAAGATTTCCCCATAAAACCAATGTAAGTATCTTCAATTGATCACCTTTTTGTCTATCTGAAAATGCTTTTCCTTCCTAACCATTACTGCAACACATGTTGCTTGGCAAAAACATCACAGAAAGTAAAACATAATACTCAGGTCAACTGTACCAAAACACGTAGAAAGTTTAACTGAAACATATGGTTAACTGCTGTTCTGAGACAGTTTGTTATTAATTTCAAAACTTCCACTTCAGTGTTCGTTAGGTGACCCACAGTTTTTACTTCATCTAGATAGATACCAGGTGACAAATATTTATATCTAACTTTGGACTGTCAAAGAAACTACAAAAGCCTGTGTGAAAACTTCAGTTTAACCTGCTGCAAAATGCATGGTGCCTCTAAAAACCATAGCTTCCTAGTTGACTAGTTTGGCTTTTTTCCCCCTCTCTTGGAGAGGACCCCAATATGTTATCATCTCAAAGACGGCAATGAAAGCAAAGTAGGATTTCCTGTCTTTTCACTTGGCACATACACATCTCATTCCCGTTCTATTTAAACATCCTTTTGCAAAACACGAAGGCCATGAGAACGCTGTCAAGTAGCTTATACTGTTTACCTACCTCCTTTCATTTTCACAGGCAATTCCATTTTCTCGTATGTGTTGCTTACTCTGCAGGTCAAGTCCTGCACACCAATGCTCCGAGTGTCGTAGATCTCCAGTTTACTGGTGATGGACACCGTCCCATTGGTGTTCATGAATGTCTCCTGTGTAGGAGTGGAATTGAATAAGTTGTTCCAGGTGATGGTAGGCTCTGGGAAGCCAACAGCAGTACAGATGGCTATCAAATGACCTTCGGAAATGTTGTAATGGACAGTTGCATTGAGACCTTCCAACACACAAATAAGACAATCCATCACCACAATGAGCACTAAGTCATAACTTGAAATAATGATTTTACCATTATCAATCAGAGCAAAGCTTACTGGATTCGCACTGAGCCCCACAGCACAGGAATGCAAGAAGAGTTCATTGGGTCAGGTTCCCCCCATGATTCAATACTCCTTCCCTTATACTAAAGTTATATACCCCAAAGTTTTCACTCAACTTGAAATCCCAGGTTTTAAAACAATCTGTTAAAGTAAAACCATGTCTTGGTCCGTGCTGCTTTCCTATCAGCCAATTCCCTATCAAAGGCAGGGTTCAGCACAGCAGCTCACAGCACTGGGGTTGTACCTGGCACCTAGAGGAAACTAGCGATGCTGGTTTGCCTAGGTTCCAACTGGAATTGCAAAAAAATTGGATCAAAAAAATTGATCCAACTCCTTGCTTTTTAGCAGCTACCCCCAGAACAATGAACAAGGACACCCCAGAGGCAAAGCCACCACAATAGGCTTGAAGGCCCTAGGCAATAGGCCCACGGAGTCTTGCTCACAGCAGTAAAACTCTGTTTCTACACCACGTTCCACTGAGGCACATCCCTACCCCTGCAGCTTCCGAGTCTGTGCAAGGAAATGCTGGGGGTGAGAAAACACCTCTTTTTTGCACTACAGACGTATCCCTGCAGAGAACCTCACCAAAGACACTCAGGCAGGTATGTCCAGAGAAGGATCCTAAAGGAAAAGTATTGAAGATACACTTGTAACACCCTGAATCATCCATTCTGGTGTCCCAAAAAGTGATGTTTGTCTCATTGAGTACCAGACTTGTGAAATTCATTCGGTCTTGATATGGCTCATGAATCTTTAATCCTGTTGTGGTACTGTATGTAGCTATATTATTGTGTGGTGTTTCAGAGTCCTTTTGCCATGTCACTTGCAGAACATCCTTGGGTTCTGTCAGGGCACAGCTGAGAGTCACGGTGTCGCCCACCTTCACATTTCTTTGTTCTGCCTGTGGAACCACTGGAGTGACATGAAATAGTTAGTGAAATGGGCAGATATTACACACATTCAGAAGCCTAATACTGATTGATTCTAAAGCCTGGATTACCCACAGACACAACAATTCAAACAATTACATATTGTTTCTATTTCCCCCCACTAAAAAGTCCACTACTGCATCCTCCAGAAATCTGTAATGTTATGTTGATTTACATTGGCTGAGGCTCTGGATTTCTTCTAAACCATTTAAAAGAAAAAGACATACCCTATTTCCATACCCATCCCTGCAGACTTCCCACTCGAGTTTTATCTGCCAGCTCATGGCTTCCCATTCTCAATAAAAACTCAATTTTTGTTTCCTAAAAGCTAGAGGAAGATTGAAGGCACAAGAGAAGGGTGCACCAAACTCTTCCCTGAGAACTGAGCAGCAAAATTGGCTAAAAAGAATTTCTGGCTTCAGAGTTCCAGTACATTTGAGAGGGAGAAAGAAGGCCAAAAAAAAAAAAAAAAAAAAAATTGTTCCTGCAGGGAGGATCTGCTATGGGAAGTTGTGAGCTCAGGTGAACAATAGCGTCCAGTGTCATTGTAGATATGAGATTTTGTATGTCCCTCCCATATCCAAATGCTGCTCTAGGAGGTCTTGTGTCACATCTGCCAGCTCCTTGTCTATGCCTTAGCTATCTCACTGTGTCAAACGGCACAAGCAATCTGTATTTCACCTGGTTGTGCCCCTTACTCTGACTGTTGAAGCCTCAGGAGTCAGAAACAAATTCCCTGGCAATTTTCAGGCAGACTTCAGGAAATTCAACTTACCCTTTGCCTCTCCAAGCCCAGTACAAGCCAGACACAAAACCAGTGCTCGCAAAGTCATTTTGGAAGGGGAAAATCTGCTTCACCTGAAGAAAGATAAGACGACATGTGTGATTCAATAACATCATCTTCCAGTGGCATCACGTCTCCAGGGTACAAACATTAACAGTAGCTTTGTCATGTGAGAAAAACATAGTTCTGGGGGCAGATGGCGAGTTTTGACGGGTCTCATTACATAACACAGAAAGTGCTCTGGTCAAGGTGGGAAAAAAAAAAAATAATCGCATGTTGGAAGTTAGAAAGGCATTAATCTACCAGAAGCATGACATACTGGTTGTCCAGGACTAGCTCTGACACTAGGAGAGAGGTTGGGTTAGCTTGTGAGATCAAGGTATAAATTGAAAGCAACTTCTCTGAGGACTTCAAGACTTCCCATTTGTCCAAAACTGCATGAATTGGGGAACTTTAGGGGCATACTGCACCTGCTTTGTACAACTACATTTCCAAGGTGAGAAACGAGTAAAAATAAGGTCGCGTTGCTTAGTGAACAGCTTTAGACCTGTTTCCTGTTCCCTCAATCAGTTAATATCGCCACAATTCAGTTGAATTATAGACCTCCCTGGAACTGAAGCTGGTGTCATATCTAAGTGGAAGCATTATTTTTGTAGGAAAGACCTCTGCAACACACATCACCTACACCTGAGGTTTTTTGCCAATATCTGCAAACTAGGTGATGCTTCTTGGGAGCGTCTTCTGTCAAGAACATAAGTAAAGCCTAACCTTTTACAGACTTTCACAAGATGAAAAAAAAAAAAAAAAGAGGAAGAGAGAATCAACTTTAAAGCATTTTTTGGGATACAGCTTTAAAAAGGAAGGCTGATGAATAAATATAAAATAATAAATATATATAATATATATATTTATATATAAATATATATAAAATAATATATATTTATAAAAATAAATAAAAAAGAGGGAGGAAAAAAAAAAGCCTGTTTAATAAACACATTCCCAGCAAGCTTGTGCGCATAACGCATCTGTGCACAACCACTAGCCTGTCTTTAATTTTTAAGCTGTGCTAAAAACAACTCCTAATAAACTCTGCAGTTACCCAGCATGACTACAGACAGACCTCATTCTTATGTGTAAAATCAGGAAACAGTAATCCATCAGCAACAAACCCAGCAAATAATGAGTTTGTCAGCTGATACACTTGAGCAGGGCTCTGAGAAATCCAGACAGATATTCCTAAAAACATGCAAAAATCAAGGGCAACAGAGCTAGTGAGAAATTCTGAGTTACAGAAGTGTTTATAAACCAGTGAAGTCACAGAAAAGCACAGCTTTCAATAACAACCTTTTTGCTTTAACACCACTGCTTTAAAAACAGTGCAGCCCTGAACACAGCATCACTCACACCCCTGTAGCTGCAAGATTCATACGAGAGGAACTGGGCTGCTGTGTAGCTATAGCGGGCATGAAAGAAGTCCCTTTAGGTCACAAACACAACCTAGTGTATTACAGGGTAAACTAAAGAAGAACCAAAGCCCAAAAAAAACACCCCACCCCCCCAAAAAAACCCAAAAAACCTTAAAACACCCAAACAAGCGAACTAGAAAAACCTGAGGCAATTAAACAGCAAAGCCTTCCCTACGCCATGCCATACCTTCCCAAACCACGCTTGGGGGGTCTCCTGCGCCACCGGCTGTACCCCTGTGCCGGATCCACTGTTCCCCGCCACCTTCTGGGAAACTTCTCCCACTTGGGAAAGCCCTTCGTGCTCCTGGCGACCAGCCTCGGCACCCACCGGGCGCTGCTTGTCCGCGCTGACTTGCGATGTGACGCCAACCTCGGGAGGCGACCACAGCGTCACTCCGGCACCTCGGGGCGGCCCTTCCCGCTTGGGAAAGGCGGCGGGGGGGCTCGGGTACCCGCCGCAAGGCGCGGGAACTGCTCCCACCCCCGCTTCCCGGGCGGCGCCGAACGCTCCCCGGCGATGGGCTTCCGCGCACCGGCACTGCCCAGGACCTGGGAGAGATGAAGGAGAGAGAAAACCTGCCCGAGAACCCTCCGGGAAGAAGCAGCAGCAAGCTGGCTCCCGCAATCCCCCGCCGTGCCGTGCCCCGCCCCGCCCCGGTGTCGGCGGTGCGCTCCCCCCGGTTCCTCTTCCGATGGGCAGGCACCCACTGCCGCTGCGGGTTTTGGCACAGGTACAGCAGCGACCGGCTGCTATGAGGCTGTTCCCTGCCGCCCGGTTAATCACCCAGGGGGCGGTGGCTCCGGGAACGCGCGTTAATTACCTTCCAGCGCCCCCCCTCTTAGCGCTGGAATTGGCTGCAAAGGGTTTCCTCGACGACACCACCTCCCTCGTCTCTTTCCATCTAGGGGTTATTAGTATCAACCAAATTAACACATTGATCTTGGAAGAAAACAAAAATAAAAATAAAAATAATAATAATAAAAAAAACCCAAAAAACAAAAAACCACAACCAAACATCATTTTCGTAAAGCAAGAACAGGATAACAGCCTGAGACGCAACAAGGCTGTCAGCAGTTAGTTCTGTCAGCTCTTCAGGACAGATGAGCTTGTGAAAACCAGCAGCACAAACACCAACCTCCTGCTAAGAAGTTTTGGGATGTGGGGTTTTTTTTTTCAGTTTCCAGCGTGTGACAGAGCAAATTGCTTTTATCTCCAAAGCCCGCTCTTCTCTGATTTCAGTTCAAGGGTACTGACAGTCACACCAACAATGAATGGTTATTAAAGGCTTCTGTGCTATCATAAACCACTAAAACTAGAATCCAACAGCAGATACAGAACAGAGTAATAATAGCAACAACAACATCAACAATAATAAGAAGAATAAATTTATAATAATGGCCAAGAGCTGTGACACCATCCAAATACTGGACTGCAAATACTTTCTGGAACACTAGGTATTTGAGGATTTTTTCAGACCAGATCAATTTCTTGAACTTATTTGTTGCAAGGCTTCATTGGAAGCTGCACAACAAATATACTGAGGCTTTCCCCAACCTGGTAATTGGGGTTTTTTTTCATAATTACCACATCCTGTAATATGTAACTGCAGGTGGCTAGCCCAGCAATAATCAGCAACGAAGTTTTGACTACTAGGCCAAGGCTCTGCCTCTTTTCTGGATCCTCAGTCCAGACAGACAAAACCTACCTTTTTTTCTGATGTTAGGCAGTAGGAAATTAGTGCAAAAAAATTGCCTAGAAGATCTTATGGAAAGAGAAGGTCATTTTATTATACAAAATCTCTAGGAAAGTTGATTTTATGACCAGTTTCATACTGTCAGGCTGCAGACCTTCAAACAGTCTGTCCAGGATCTTCTAAGTTGCTCTTCACTGGTGATGAGAACCTGATTTTGAGATATAGAATCATAGAATTGTCTAGGTTGGAAGGAACCTTTAAGATCACCTAGTGCAACCATCAAACTAACTCTGATAAAGAAACCCTATCACTAAACCATGTCACTAAGCTCTATGTCAACCTACCTTTTGAATCCCTCCAGGGACTGTGCTTCAACCACCTTCCTGGGCAGCCCATACCAATATTTATTAACCCTTTCGGTGTAAAAAGTTTTTCTAATACCCAACCTCAACCTCCCCTGGCGCAACTTGAGGTCATTTCCTCTTGTCCTATCGCCTGTGACTTGAGAGAAGAGACCGACCCCCGCCTCTCTACAGCCTCCTTTCGGGTAGTTGTAGAGAGCAATAAAGTGTCCGTCATTGTGAGTGGTTTTTTGCTTTTGCTGCTACCTTCCGGTTGGGCTGAGAGAAAAAGACACAGCATGAGTGATACAAGGCAATGTTGGACTACAGATCTTCCACTGACAAGTTGTCTCTGTTGTAGTTTTATCAGGCTTGTCCCAGGCTTGACAGAAACAACCCATTTTTTAACTTGATTTATTAGAAACTGCATCCTTTGCAATCAATACAGGACCTTCAGTGTTTGCTGTTTCTTCAGCTCCTTTCACACACACACGTGTTCACATCCCATTTATACCAATTGCAATGTTTCTCTTGCAAGACCCTAAAAGGTCTCCTGTTTTAAATCATCATTACTCATGGGAACAATATCAGACTTGGCACAATTTCAAACCCTGCCAAAATTACTTGGCAAAGATGCCCATAAGTTTTTTGCCAAGAGCCCACATAAAATCAGAACTCTTTTCTTATTTGAGACACAAACGTATGGGAATATTTCAAGCACTATTATTAAAACTTTCCAAAGGAATAGGGTGGTGTCCCCTTTCCGTAGCCATCCCAGGCTCCCCCGTAGGTTAACTGTGCCCCTTCCACTGCTCTCAGTACCACAGTGCATAAAGCAGCCCTTTTTGACCTGCGAAAACCAAAACACCTGATGCCTGTGCCCCAGATCAGAGTTAACTTGTTGCTGGAGGCTGGGCTTCAGGGCACTAGCCCTTCCACCTGGGTATAGCTGTCTTTGGAGACATCTTCTCCACCACTGTGCTTCAATTAGCGGAGCCCTTCCTCTGCCAACTAACAAACTAAAGCCCAAGCTCCACCCGTACCGTTTCTCAACATTTTCTTCTGTCTCCTAGAACTGATAAGTAGGTCTCAAGTCACTTAAATTTCCCTCTGCCAGACTTCCCTTTTTTGTTTTGAATAGAGAATGGGTTCTGTCTAAAGCAGATCAGGCCTCCAGCAAGTAACGTGCTACTTCTTGTTTGGGACTGATGTATCTTCACCCCTCACACGGGTTTTTCTTTTTATGAGAAAAATGTGTTAGCAAGTCTCCTGTGCCCACCTGCCCTCACTGTAGTTCAAAGGATTTCAGAGGGAACTGCAGAGAGCTGAGGACTACACAGCTTAAAAAAAAAAAAAAAATCTATCCAGAAGTGCCTTGTGCCATCCAAGTGAAAAAATCAGGGGAATCCCAGGGACATCTTCCTGCCCTTATTTCATGAAAATAAAGGGTACATTTGGGTGACTTGAGCAATATTTTATATTAACTCACACTGTAACTCATATCTACTGAAGGGGAAAAGTTCTATATTTATCCAAAATTTACTTCTCCTTCAATGGTCTGGACAAACTTAAAGAAGAAAGAAGAAAATGATGAAAAAGTCTGGAAATCTTCTTTGGAAGAAAGGGAGGAAACTAGAGCGGAGCAAGGAAAAGATAGTTCTGAAGCAGTAGATGAAGACTAGAGGTAAGCTCAAGGCAGATAGAAGCAAATGGAAAGTACTCCAGGCAGACTAGCAACGGCAAAAAGTTGAAAACTGTTTTATATTCATAGAGGAATGAGCCATATTCTGTGCTCTCATGTGAACTGTTTCTTGTTAAAAGGCTCTGGCTCAGCTCAGGAATCTCTGCCGAGTTTTGCAAAGTCCTTTGTACATCAGCTCTTCAGGAGATGGCGGTGGCCGAGTTGACACCAACTGTCTGGCCTGACAAAGCCTTTGAAGTTAGTGAGAAAGAGAGTAATTAGAGTCCTCTTGTCCTAAAATACTGCCATCCCACAGAGCCTCCTTCAGCTCTTGGGACAGACACACCAAAAGAAAGCAAGCTTAGGCATGTTATCTGGGTCTTGCGAGGCTGGCTTTGGGACAGCTTTGGTCTCAGCTTTCTGTTTTGTTCTGCTTCTACAACTCCTAATGTGTTTCCTTCTGAAAGGAAATGACACAACTGCCAGCACTGAAAGAAAGAATTCATTCCATTTCATCAGGAAGAACCAGAGAGAACTTCTAAACTCCTACCTGAAAAGCAGTGAAAACCAGGTCATCTGCTGCATCTACTGCATAGAAATCCAGTACCACACTGTTTTAAAAAAACCCTCAGGTGAGACATTCAGGAAAACTCGAGACTTTTTCTGCCTGTTTGTTTTCTGAGTCCTTGGTTTGACTCTAAGTAAAACTACACTTTTGAGCGAGCATAAATCATGGACTCGCTGGCAGAAATACAGAGGTGAGGCCATTCCACTCCTTCAGCAAGCTCTGAATCACTCACTGGAGTACCACTGTTGTCTGTCTCACAGCACTGAGCACTCTTTACAATTTCCTGGGAAAAAGTTGTTTTTGAAAAGTAGTAGTTGAACCCACTCGTCTCTTCTATTGTTGTGTTTATACACACACATTGATGTCATTCGATCACAGCCACAACTGAAGATCACATATGTGTCCAAAACTACCATGCAAAAAGCCACAGATAAGTTCTCTGCAAAAGAAACATGTAATGAGTGTTTGCATTCCTCGAACTAGAGATTTCTGGAACTAAAGTTGAACCCCCCCCCCCGACAGAGCTTGTCAGAGGGATTTGGGCAGCCTACAAGCCTTCTCCAATACTACAAAATGCCTACCATTCCCACTTCTCCTCAAACACACCTTCTTTGACCCATTGCAGGCCAGGCAAGCAGCTTGAAGATCAGACTTGGGAACATTTCCACATTTCCTTCCCTGGTCCTTTGCAAGAGCTCTTCCTCCAGGAGAGCAAGGCAGGACTGAAACTAAGTGCCTAGTTCCTTCTGTCAGTCCCTTTCAATACCTTCTCTTTCAGTGACCACAGTCAGTGTCTACCATAGGACAACACCCATAAAATCATTTCATCCTGTTGTTCCTGAATGTCTTTAGATACAGTGGTTGCAATTTCTGGATACCTGAGTGTCCTGGTTTGAGGAGTAGAATGGAACCAACTTTCTGTTCAGTAATTTTACTTCTTAGCTAAATCTCTTCTAGCTCTCTGAAATTAACAACAAATTGTGCAGAAAAGTTTGCTGTCAGAGTGATAAGACCTCTGTTTATAGTCAATGTCAAGGAATGGTATACAGAACCCCTGCAGACAGAGCTTGTCAGAGGGATTTGGGCAGCCTACAAGTCTTCTCTAATAGTACAAAATGCCTACCATTCCCACTTCTCCTCAAACACACCTTCTTTGACCCATTGCAGGCCAGGCAAGCAGCTTGAAGATCAGACTTGGGAACATTTCCACATTTCCTTCCCTGGTCCTTTGCAAGAGCTCTTCCTCCAGGAGAGCAAGGCAGGACTGATACCTTCTCTTCCAGGGACCACAGTCTGTGTCCACCACAGGACAACACCCATAAAGTAATTTGTTGGTTTTTTTGTGTTGTTCCAATGTCTTTAGATACAGTGGTTGCAATTTCTGAATACCTGGGATGAGGTTGCTGAATGCAAAAAGATTATTTGTAAGTCAACAGAGAAAAAAAAAATAGCACTTGTGAGTTACTGTTTTAATGGAAGACTCACTGGAACCATTTTCCCTTTCACTCATAATCTCTCCCAATAGAAGGTACTCTGCTATTATTAGGGAAATTACTCTGTGCTGAGGCTGCACCGTGACACATCCTATTCAAAGAGCAGAGACATTGGAGGGAAATTTCTAACACACAGCCTGTAGTGATACAGGGAGCTGGATGGGAGGCTCTCCAGCTTGAACCCTTCAAAACATAACTTTTTTTAAAAATACCAATCTTGGTACAGTTCCACTAGTCTTGCTGCATCTGCACCACAGCTCCTACTGCCTTGTGAAATGTCAAGGGTGTCCCAGGACATGTCACCTACTTACTGGCTTGATCTGTGGTGATACTCGCTTCAGGAGCAGCATTAGGGACACATAGGTCCTGCCCCTGGTCCATGCTGGTGGCTGGCACATGGCTTCTCTCACTTGGGTCTCTTCAATTGTACCCCTTGGCCCACAGTCCCAGTTCATCTGCTGGTGCCAGACCACCATACACTCTGCCTATGGAGTCTCTCACCCAGGAAAAGAGATAGAAATGGAGCTTAAGGAGAAGACAGAATGGACCATGGTGATCGGGCACGAGTAGATATCAGCCTCCTGCATATGTGCGACCAGACCCTTTTATCACTTTATCTCTCCATTTTCCTAGGCCTTTCCATCCCCCAATCCCCTCAATTCTTCCCTTTTTCTCAATTTTGGTCCCTCCCCTAAGCATCCCAAAATAAGTCCTGTGCAATCCAAAAATGCTCTTCCACTGCATCCCATCATGTGTCCATACCACTTTAGGCAATGACCTCCTGTTGCAGTTTGTGCTGGGTTGGCAAATGACAAGACGTCAGATGCTCTCCTCCACCTCTCGCTCCAAGGAGAGGAAGAAGAGAGTTAAAGAAATTAACGAGCTCATAAAAAAACTAAACAACTTTAGTAAAATGTTAATAACAAAATAAAAAGGAGATAATGAAATAGATACAATATATATAAAAAATCACATCAAATTCCCAGGAAGATGTCACTAGCAGGCACTGGGGAAATTCCAAACTGGACTCAGCAACAGGTGAGAACTGGATACTGGATCTAGCTCCAAGAACACATAGGTCAGGATTGAAGGCAGATGAACAGCCAGGATCCTCCTCAGATACCAGTCACTGAAGAAAGAGAGCCATTGAAGAAGCTGCCATTGCAGAAGAGAGCCTGAGCCTTTGATCCCTCAGCTTTTATACTGAACATGGCAGATGGAATGGAATGCCCCATTGGTTAGATTTGGGTCACCTGGCCTGTCTACTCCTCCCCACATGTGTGACCCCTCCATGAGATAAACAACAGTCAGCTGATCCTGGTTGCCACAGCAATACGTATAAGCAAAAGCCCCTCTCACTGAACAGAAAGTTGGCTCTGCTCTACCCCAAACCAGGACGTGTCCTTTCAAAAGATACTCCACTGATGACCCATCTGGATGGGTTTCACACCTGGACCCTGGGGATGAGGGTCTCCTGGGACAGACATGTCTGGGAGGGGCCTGGGCAAGGTACCCCTTCCTGCAAGTCTTTAGTTTGGCTCCCCACCTACCCTTGGACTCCTCTGTTCCTCTAGGCTTATGGAGGTGAGCCTTCAGTGGGCTAATGGCTCTCCTTCCTGTGCTGGGCCAGGGAGCAGCCGGGGGGATGTTATTTGGACTCCTCTATCTGCTGTTTCCTCTTTGTCCTCCCTCATGGGTGCACAACCAAGCTCCTTGATGGATAATCCAACAGGCTCCCTCTCAAACATGCCATGGCCATGGCTATTCAGGTTCTCTGCTTCCTCTGAAAACAAGCGTCTGGAATGTTTTTTCTCTCCCAGGATTCTCATCAGGCCTGTCCGCCTTTTGCGAAGTGAGGAGTCTGGTGTTTGCTCCTGCAAAAGACCCAGCACAGTGGTGTGGTAACCATGACAAACCTCTACTTTATCAGGCAGAGAGAAATGACAAGAAGACAGGAGAGTTCCCCTTCCCAACACAGCATTAGCAAGGGCTTGCAAGGGAAAGAGGGAACCTGTGGGAGGTCAGAGGAAAGTGGCTAGTGGGGGTGAATCGCAGCTGTGGTCAGTTACTGGTTTTGTCTGTGGATGCCACCAGCCCTTCAGAGCACCTTCATGCCTGAGTGACCAGCGGGGCAGCGCAGACTTTTCTAGGGAAACTTCTGTGTGAGGCTTCTGGTTACAGCACCTGAGCTCTGCAGCACTCCCTTGCCTTTGTCCAGAAGGGGCATCCCACCCTCCTGGGTACTTCCAGCACCTCTTCCCTGCCTTTCCACCTAACCCATGGCTAACTTTTCTCCTTCATGCTCCAGGCCTTCCCCAGCATTGCTAGGGATGAGATGGGCACTTAATGGTGTCATCTACTTCGTGTGTCTCCCCCATGCCACCAAGACATGGCAGCAGGAGCAGACCCCAGCTCTTAGTGGTAGGGTTTTGTCACCTTCCTGGTAAGCACTGTCAATGCTTTTGAAGGATGTGAATAACTACTGGAAGCCTTGGGTGTTTGCATTACCTCCTTTTGACAAACAACGTGCTGGCAGTTTGGCGTTTGCAGGCTCTCGGCTTCCTTGCTTAGGTCTCGATGTAAGCCTTTCTCCAGTGCAGGTGTTCTGGCCGCACTGTGTCTCTTGCAGCTGAAAAAAACCACATTAACAACTAGTCAGGTAATGCTTAGAAACCTCCTGGCATTTAGTGTCCATCTTGCTATTTTAAGGATTCTGTTACCCCCTGGATAATTTCCAAGAGCAGGTATATAAATACCCCAAAAGGAAAGAAAAAGACAAATTGCAAGGTGAGCACAGGCAAACCATGTCATTCACAAGAAAATTGAAATTACTCTTACTTTGCCCATTTTCTGTTGATTAGTATGATGATGCAATGTATCAAGGCTGTTAACACCACTGCTATTACGACCACCGTGATGATGATGGTCTTCTGAGCACCTACAAGAAGAAACCAATAAGTTCACCCAGAACATAGAGGGATGTCAACATGTTTCTTGCGTCCTCTTCCAGAGGTTGTGACTGAAGTGAAACATTCATCAGTTTGTGCTCGTTTATTCTTTGAAGAAGAGAAAGGAATGGCATAGCAACATAACACTGTGGTAGGTGAGAAATTATTTTCATTTTTGAATAAATATGGATAATGTCTCACCTGTGCCTGGTACAGGGGAATTAAATCCCAGCCTTTTTTTCTCCTGACCTATTTGTGTTTCTCTTTCTGTATGAAGAAGTTTTATCATGAGGAAAGTCTCCCATCCTTCCTGAGACATACACTCCTGCAAGACCTTAGATGTGAAATGTTGTTCCCCAGAATTTGACAGCTAGGGGCCTGCTCTGCTGGTACCTTCCAGCTGTGGATACTGCTGGAGAGCTGACCGCATCTGTTCTAGATCACTGATTGTGTAGAAATCTAAACATACAGAGATATATATGCCTATGTACACGCAAATCTACAGATTTATTAGAAGGTGGTGAGACACTGGAAGAGGTTGCCCAGAGAAGTGCTGGATGCCCCATCCCTGGACGTGTTCAAGACCAGGTTGGATGGGGCTTTGAGCAACCTGGTCTAGTGGGAGGTGTCCCTGCCCATGGCAGGGGGGTTGGAACTCGATGATCTTTAAGGTCCCTTCCAACCATAACCATTCTACGATACTATGGTATGTATATGCACACACCTACCACACAGACACAAAGGTGCTACAGGGAGGAGTCTTCTGGATGGCTTCAAAACATGAAATCTGAACTCCCAGAAAAATGTCTAGTGAGACCTACGTAAGCATAAGCTGCACTCCCACAATTCACAATTGCAAATCCTTCCCTAAGCACTCCCCGCTACATGCTGCACCTCTCCATACAAACACAACCTACCTTCACTTTCTTTTTCCAGGTAAACTGCCTTTATTTTCCTTCCTTGTGGGTGGTCAAGGAGGCAGGTCAATGCACGGATGTGGCTGGCAGAGAATGTAAGTCTGTTTGCCACTGTTACTGTCCCATTTGCGTTTTGGACGTGGCGTATTTCAGGGGACTCAAGCAGGTCTCCGTCATCCAGCCAGGTGATTTTGGGGGCAGGCTTTCCTGTTGCTGAGCAGACTGCAGTGAGGAGATCCTCAGTGGGCAGATGGGAATCATATTCCACTGTTAGCTCAGAAATTGCTGAGAGCAAAAAGAGAAGGTTCTTTTTAGGCTCTGTGGTGAGTTAATGGTCAAAGTGGATAGTTAACCTCTTTCTATGTGGGTTTTTACCCAAAAGCATCTTCCAGCTTATTTGTCATCACCTCCTCTGAGGGAAGGTAGAACAATTCTGGAGACTATCTACTGAGGAGATGCTGCTGCATAGAAATTTCTATGGGGTGGAAGGGACAATGCCTTCTCACCTCCTGACTGCATCGGACCTGTGCTGAGTGCCAGAAAGAGAGCAGGTGTTAGTGGAAAACTTACTTTGGATGTTGAGGCATATATCTTTGCTGAAAGAGCCATGAGGAAATACATTGAAAATGCATCTGTAGTAGGACTCATCCTCAAAAGAGAGATTTTGGAGTGTAATAGCTGAGTCCTTCAGGGTTATTCTAGTGAAATGCACCTTCTTCTGAAATGACCCTATTAACCTCAGCCCATGATTTGGGCTGTAGGTGGCTATGTTCTGGAAGGCAGACCCATTTCTCTTCTGCCAGGTGACTTGCAAAACGTCCATTGAGAGTGAGAAGTTGCAAGAGAAAGTTGCCTCTCCACCAAGGGCTGCTGCAATAACGCGATCAGATTTCACGGCTTCCTTCAAACCTAGGAACAATGCAAACCCCAAAATCAGAGCGAGAGGAAAAGCAATTCACTTAGGGAAAGCTACAGTGCCTTGGAGTACCCAGGCACAGCGTTCCCATCTTTCAGAGCACTGGAGCAAGGAACTCCACCACGAGGCTGAGTGGCACGCTGGGAGACCTCAGACACATTGGTCTCGTGGGTGGCCATCACACCATTAGCCTGTGCTGTGCATTTCCCATGGTGAGGAGGAAGGCAGCAGGGCAGCAGAAGGGCTCCTTAGCAAGCACAGCGAAGCCGATCCCCAGGCTCATTTGCCTGATGATTCCCAGCGTATTATTTTTAGCTCGCCTTTGTCCCCTGCAGCCCTGAGGTGTCCTGTACAGACCCAGCACTCGGCAACCAACCAGCAAAAGGGACTCTCATTCCTGGCAGCAATGTCTCTCGCTGGCACGTGCCCGGGAGGCAGAGCAGCCCAGGGCACCCCGCAGCTGGGAGTGCAACCGTGCCAACGGCTGCAGGGGGATATGCCCCAGCCTCAGACTCTCCCAACAGCAATGCCCACCACCCAGATGTGCACTGGAAACACAAACCAGCTCCATCCCTTGCACCGAGCCGTTTAGCAACATGTACAAAAAAAAAAGGGAATATGCAGGCTGAATATATGGCTTGAGTGCAAAGACAAACTCCATCCTGTGCCCTTCCTGACCTGCATTTCCCCATCTTGCTGCTGACCAGTCCCCAGATTACAAGCTGCTCTTCCTGATACCAGTTCGCATTTTTCAGTCAGGAGGGTGTCTGGGTCTCTCTGCTTGCCAAGAAAGGCTGGTGCTGCCCTGGAGTTAACCTCATGCAGGGAAAGGGCTCTCCACTCACCCATCGCCGGCTCCTCCAGCTGGCAGCCCCTGCAGAGCAGCAGGAGGCAGATCTCAGTCCAGCAAAGCAGGTGGAACAGCATCGTGGGACAGAGCACCTGGACGGGAAAGCTGGCTGCCTTTCCCTGCATCCCTCAGAGGGCAACTGGCCTCTGCCCACGTGGTTGGTTTAAGACTTTCTGCCTTTTTCAAACTCCTTCTTGGAGGCCAATCAGCAAGCTGTGGGGCAGGGGAGACGGGAAACAACCAGGAGCATGGTTAATCATTAATCTTGGTTAAAAGGCTTGTGGGTTAGCAACACAGCGTGGCTTTACTGGGACTTTCTACTCCACCAAACGGACCAGTTAGCAGAGTTGGATATAGAGAGCACACCCTCTTTTTGTCTCCAGCAGCACAGCTTGGTATTCCTCTTGGTAGCGCCATACTGCTGAGCTCTGCTCCAAGTGCCCTCGTGAGAACTTGCACCTCGCATGGTGTAAGTGTGGCATCTTCTTGGTAAGATGCCATTGCTTGGCACCAGCTCGCAAGCATACCGAAAGCACAAGTTGGATTATGAAAGGGGTCTCCTCTTTCCTTTGCCTTCTGGGTGAGCACGCTCTGCTGATAATACATTCCTTGGTTCTTCCCTCGATTTATGGACTAATGACCCCTTTAAGCAGAGCTAATGGAGGCAATAACCAGGGAAAGTTGTACAGGTTTAAGGAAAAGAATATGAAGCAACTGCTGCAAGTTTCCCTTGTTTAGCAGGGGAAGAAAATAAAGTGTTAAAGGACAACTGAAGTCAGTGCCACAGATTCAAGTAAAACCAAACCTGCAAAGTTTTACAGGTGTGAGGTCCCAGGCTGACTGGTCACCTGCTGGAGGCTTACAGGAGGACTGCTGGACTCTGCTGATTCAACTCCTGGCTCTGCACATGTAAATTAGCATATGCCCCTTAATCGTCAAATTCAAGCAATGCTTCCTCAAGCCATGACTGCTCAAAAGCTGCTACCTTCCGGTTGGGCTGAGAGAAAAAGACACAGCATGAGTGATACAAGGCAATGTTGGACTACAGATCTTCCACTGACAAGTTGTCTCTGTTGTAGTTTTATCAGGCTTGTCCCAGGCTTGACAGAAACAACCCATTTTTTAACTTGATTTATTAGAAACTGCATCCTTTGCAATCAATACAGGACCTTCAGTGTTTGCTGTTTCTTCAGCTCCTTTCACACACACACGTGTTCACATCCCATTTATACCAATTGCAATGTTTCTCTTGCAAGACCCTAAAAGGTCTCCTGTTTTAAATCATCATTACTCATGGGAACAATATCAGACTTGGCACAATTTCAAACCCTGCCAAAATTACTTGGCAAAGATGCCCATAAGTTTTTTGCCAAGAGCCCACATAAAATCAGAACTCTTTTCTTATTTGAGACACAAACGTATGGGAATATTTCAAGCACTATTATTAAAACTTTCCAAAGGAATAGGGTGGTGTCCCCTTTCCGTAGCCATCCCAGGCTCCCCCGTAGGTTAACTGTGCCCCTTCCACTGCTCTCAGTACCACAGTGCATAAAGCAGCCCTTTTTGACCTGCGAAAACCAAAACACCTGATGCCTGTGCCCCAGATCAGAGTTAACTTGTTGCTGGAGGCTGGGCTTCAGGGCACTAGCCCTTCCACCTGGGTATAGCTGTCTTTGGAGACATCTTCTCCACCACTGTGCTTCAATTAGCGGAGCCCTTCCTCTGCCAACTAACAAACTAAAGCCCAAGCTCCACCCGTACCGTTTCTCAACATTTTCTTCTGTCTCCTAGAACTGATAAGTAGGTCTCAAGTCACTTAAATTTCCCTCTGCCAGACTTCCCTTTTTTGTTTTGAATAGAGAATGGGTTCTGTCTAAAGCAGATCAGGCCTCCAGCAAGTAACGTGCTACTTCTTGTTTGGGACTGATGTATCTTCACCCCTCACACGGGTTTTTCTTTTTATGAGAAAAATGTGTTAGCAAGTCTCCTGTGCCCACCTGCCCTCACTGTAGTTCAAAGGATTTCAGAGGGAACTGCAGAGAGCTGAGGACTACACAGCTTAAAAAAAAAAAAAAAATCTATCCAGAAGTGCCTTGTGCCATCCAAGTGAAAAAATCAGGGGAATCCCAGGGACATCTTCCTGCCCTTATTTCATGAAAATAAAGGGTACATTTGGGTGACTTGAGCAATATTTTATATTAACTCACACTGTAACTCATATCTACTGAAGGGGAAAAGTTCTATATTTATCCAAAATTTACTTCTCCTTCAATGGTCTGGACAAACTTAAAGAAGAAAGAAGAAAATGATGAAAAAGTCTGGAAATCTTCTTTGGAAGAAAGGGAGGAAACTAGAGCGGAGCAAGGAAAAGATAGTTCTGAAGCAGTAGATGAAGACTAGAGGTAAGCTCAAGGCAGATAGAAGCAAATGGAAAGTACTCCAGGCAGACTAGCAACGGCAAAAAGTTGAAAACTGTTTTATATTCATAGAGGAATGAGCCATATTCTGTGCTCTCATGTGAACTGTTTCTTGTTAAAAGGCTCTGGCTCAGCTCAGGAATCTCTGCCGAGTTTTGCAAAGTCCTTTGTACATCAGCTCTTCAGGAGATGGCGGTGGCCGAGTTGACACCAACTGTCTGGCCTGACAAAGCCTTTGAAGTTAGTGAGAAAGAGAGTAATTAGAGTCCTCTTGTCCTAAAATACTGCCATCCCACAGAGCCTCCTTCAGCTCTTGGGACAGACACACCAAAAGAAAGCAAGCTTAGGCATGTTATCTGGGTCTTGCGAGGCTGGCTTTGGGACAGCTTTGGTCTCAGCTTTCTGTTTTGTTCTGCTTCTACAACTCCTAATGTGTTTCCTTCTGAAAGGAAATGACACAACTGCCAGCACTGAAAGAAAGAATTCATTCCATTTCATCAGGAAGAACCAGAGAGAACTTCTAAACTCCTACCTGAAAAGCAGTGAAAACCAGGTCATCTGCTGCATCTACTGCATAGAAATCCAGTACCACACTGTTTTAAAAAAACCCTCAGGTGAGACATTCAGGAAAACTCGAGACTTTTTCTGCCTGTTTGCTTTCTGAGTCCTTGGTTTGACTCTAAGTAAAACTACACTTTTGAGCGAGCATAAATCATGGACTCGCTGGCAGAAATACAGAGGTGAGGCCATTCCACTCCTTCAGCAAGCTCTGAATCACTCACTGGAGTACCACTGTTGGCTGTCTCACAGCACTGAGCACTCTTTACAATTTCCTGGGAAAAAGTTGTTTTTGAAAAGTAGTAGTTGAACCCACTCGTCTCTTCTATTGTTGTGTTTATACACACACATTGATGTCATTCGATCACAGCCACAACTGAAGATCACATATGTGTCCAAAACCACCACGCAAAAAAACACAGATAAGTTCTCTGCAAAAGAAAAATGTAATGGGTGTTTGCATTCCTTGAATTAGAGATTTCTGGAACTAAAGGTGGACCCCCCCCCAGACAGAGCTTGTCAGAGGGATTTGGGCAGCCTACAAGCCTTCTCTAATAGTACAAAATGCCTACCATTCCCACTTCTCCTCAAACACACCTTCTTTGACCCATTGCAGGCCAGGCAAGCAGCTTGAAGATCAGACTTGGGAACATTTCCACATTTCCTTCCCTGGTCCTTTGCAAGAGCTCTCCCTCCAGGAGAGCAAGGCAGGACTGAAACTAAGTGCCTAGTTCCTTCTGTCAGTCCCTTTCAGTACCTTCTCTTTCAGTGACCACAGTCAGTGTCTATCATAGGACAACACCCATAAAATCATTTCATCCTGTTGTTCATGAATGTCTTTAGATACAGTGGTTGCAATTTCTGGATGCCTGGGTGTCCTGGTTTGAGGAGTAGAATGGAACCAACTTTCTGTTCAGTAATTTTACTTCTTAGCTAAATCTCTTCTAGCTCTCTGAAATTAACAACAAATTGTGCAGAAAAGTTTGCTGTCAGAGTGATAAGACCTCTGTTTATAGTCAATGTCAAGGAATGGTATACAGAACCCCTGCAGACAGAGCTTGTCAGAGGGATTTGGGCAGCCTACAAGTCTTCTCTAATAGTACAAAATGCCTACCATTCGCACTTCTCCTCAAACACACCTTCTTTGACCCATTGCAGGCCAGGCAGGCAGCTTGGAGATCAGACTTGGGAACATCTTCACATTTCCTTCCCTGGTCCTTTGCAAGAGCTCTTCCTCCAGGAGAGCAAGGCAGGACTGATACCTTCTCTTCCAGGGACCACAGTCTGTGTCCACCACAGGACAACACCCATAAAGTAATTTGTTGGTTTTTTTGTGTTGTTCCAATGTCTTTAGATACAGTGGTTGCAATTTCTGAATACCTGGGATGAGGTTGCTGAATGCAAAAAGATTATTTGTAAGTCAACAGAGAAAAAAAAAATAGCACTTGTGAGTTACTGTTTTAATGGAAGACTCACTGGAACCATTTTCCCTTTCACTCATAATCTCTCCCAATAGAAGGTACTCTGCTATTATTAGGGAAATTACTCTGTGCTGAGGCTGCACCGTGACACATCCTATTCAAAGAGCAGAGACATTGGAGGGAAATTTCTAACACACAGCCTGTAGTGATACAGGGAGCTGGATGGGAGGCTCTCCAGCTTGAACCCTTCAAAACATAACTTTTTTAAAAAATACCAATCTTGGTACAGTTCCACTAGTCTTGCTGCATCTGCACCACAGCTCCTACTGCCTTGTGAAATGTCAAGGGTGTCCCAGGACATGTCACCTACTTACTGGCTTGATCTGTGGTGATACTCGCTTCAGGAGCAGCATTAGGGACACATAGGTCCTGCCCCTGGTCCATGCTGGTGGCTGGCACATGGCTTCTCTCACTTGGGTCTCTTCAATTGTACCCCTTGGCCCACAGTCCCAGTTCATCTGCTGGTGCCAGACCACCATACACTCTGCCTATGGAGTCTCTCACCCAGGAAAAGAGATAGAAATGGAGCTTAAGGAGAAGACAGAATGGACCATGGTGATCGGGCACGAGTAGATATCAGCCTCCTGCATATGTGCGACCAGACCCTTTTATCACTTTATCTCTCCATTTTCCTAGGCCTTTCCATCCCCCAATCCCCTCAATTCTTCCCTTTTTCTCAATTTTGGTTCCTCCCCTAAGCATCCCAAAATAAGTCCTGTGCAATCCAAAAATGCTCTTCCACTGCATCCCATCATGTGTCCATACCACTTTAGGCAATGACCTCCTGTTGCAGTTTGTGCTGGGTTGGCAAATGACAAGACGTCAGATGCTCTCCTCCACCTCTCGCTCCAAGGAGAGGAAGAAGAGAGTTAAAGAAATTAACGAGCTCATAAAAAAACTAAACAACTTTAGTAAAATGTTAATAACAAAATAAAAAGGAGATAATGAAATAGATACAATATATATAAAAAATCACATCAAATTCCCAGGAAGATGTCACTAGCAGGCACTGGGGAAATTCCAAACTGGACTCAGCAACAGGTGAGAACTGGATACTGGATCTAGCTCCAAGAACACATAGGTCAGGATTGAAGGCAGATGAACAGCCAGGATCCTCCTCAGATACCAGTCACTGAAGAAAGAGAGCCATTGAAGAAGCTGCCATTGCAGAAGAGAGCCTGAGCCTTTGATCCCTCAGCTTTTATACTGAACATGGCAGATGGAATGGAATGCCCCATTGGTTAGATTTGGGTCACCTGGCCTGTCTACTCCTCCCCACATGTGTGACCCCTCCATGAGATAAACAACAGTCAGCTGATCCTGGTTGCCACAGCAATACGTATAAGCAAAAGCCCCTCTCACTGAACAGAAAGTTGGCTCTGCTCTACCCCAAACCAGGACGTGTCCTTTCAAAAGATACTCCACTGATGACCCATCTGGATGGGTTTCACACCTGGACCCTGGGGATGAGGGTCTCCTGGGACAGACATGTCTGGGAGGGGCCTGGGCAAGGTACCCCTTCCTGCAAGTCTTTAGTTTGGCTCCCCACCTACCCTTGGACTCCTCTGTTCCTCTAGGCTTATGGAGGTGAGCCTTCAGTGGGCTAATGGCTCTCCTTCCTGTGCTGGGCCAGGGAGCAGCCGGGGGGATGTTATTTGGACTCCTCTATCTGCTGTTTCCTCTTTGTCCTCCCTCATGGGTGCACAACCAAGCTCCTTGATGGATAATCCAACAGGCTCCCTCTCAAACATGCCATGGCCATGGCTATTCAGGTTCTCTGCTTCCTCTGAAAACAAGCGTCTGGAATGTTTTTTCTCTCCCAGGATTCTCATCAGGCCTGTCCGCCTTTTGCGAAGTGAGGAGTCTGGTGTTTGCTCCTGCAAAAGACCCAGCACAGTGGTGTGGTAACCATGACAAACCTCTACTTTATCAGGCAGAGAGAAATGACAAGAAGACAGGAGAGTTCCCCTTCCCAACACAGCATTAGCAAGGGCTTGCAAGGGAAAGAGGGAACCTGTGGGAGGTCAGAGGAAAGTGGCTAGTGGGGGTGAATCGCAGCTGTGGTCAGTTACTGGTTTTGTCTGTGGATGCCACCAGCCCTTCAGAGCACCTTCATGCCTGAGTGACCAGCGGGGCAGCGCAGACTTTTCTAGGGAAACTTCTGTGTGAGGCTTCTGGTTACAGCACCTGAGCTCTGCAGCACTCCCTTGCCTTTGTCCAGAAGGGGCATCCCACCCTCCTGGGTACTTCCAGCACCTCTTCCCTGCCTTTCCACCTAACCCATGGCTAACTTTTCTCCTTCATGCTCCAGGCCTTCCCCAGCATTGCTAGGGATGAGATGGGCACTTAATGGTGTCATCTACTTCGTGTGTCTCCCCCATGCCACCAAGACATGGCAGCAGGAGCAGACCCCAGCTCTTAGTGGTAGGGTTTTGTCACCTTCCTGGTAAGCACTGTCAATGCTTTTGAAGGATGTGAATAACTACTGGAAGCCTTGGGTGTTTGCATTACCTCCTTTTGACAAACAACGTGCTGGCAGTTTGGCGTTTGCAGGCTCTCGGCTTCCTTGCTTAGGTCTCGATGTAAGCCTTTCTCCAGTGCAGGTGTTCTGGCCGCACTGTGTCTCTTGCAGCTGAAAAAAACCACATTAACAACTAGTCAGGTAATGCTTAGAAACCTCCTGGCATTTAGTGTCCATCTTGCTATTTTAAGGATTCTGTTACCCCCTGGATAATTTCCAAGAGCAGGTATATAAATACCCCAAAAGGAAAGAAAAAGACAAATTGCAAGGTGAGCACAGGCAAACCATGTCATTCACAAGAAAATTGAAATTACTCTTACTTTGCCCATTTTCTGTTGATTAGTATGATGATGCAATGTATCAAGGCTGTTAACACCACTGCTATTACGACCACCGTGATGATGATGGTCTTCTGAGCACCTACAAGAAGAAACCAATAAGTTCACCCAGAACATAGAGGGATGTCAACATGTTTCTTGCGTCCTCTTCCAGAGGTTGTGACTGAAGTGAAACATTCATCAGTTTGTGCTCGTTTATTCTTTGAAGAAGAGAAAGGAATGGCATAGCAACATAACACTGTGGTAGGTGAGAAATTATTTTCATTTTTGAATAAATATGGATAATGTCTCACCTGTGCCTGGTACAGGGGAATTAAATCCCAGCCTTTTTTTCTCCTGACCTATTTGTGTTTCTCTTTCTGTATGAAGAAGTTTTATCATGAGGAAAGTCTCCCATCCTTCCTGAGACATACACTCCTGCAAGACCTTAGATGTGAAATGTTGTTCCCCAGAATTTGACAGCTAGGGGCCTGCTCTGCTGGTACCTTCCAGCTGTGGATACTGCTGGAGAGCTGACCGCATCTGTTCTAGATCACTGATTGTGTAGAAATCTAAACATACAGAGATATATATGCCTATGTACACGCAAATCTACAGATTTATTAGAAGGTGGTGAGACACTGGAAGAGGTTGCCCAGAGAAGTGCTGGATGCCCCATCCCTGGACGTGTTCAAGACCAGGTTGGATGGGGCTTTGAGCAACCTGGTCTAGTGGGAGGTGTCCCTGCCCATGGCAGGGGGGTTGGAACTCGATGATCTTTAAGGTCCCTTCCAACCATAACCATTCTACGATACTATGGTATGTATATGCACACACCTACCACACAGACACAAAGGTGCTACAGGGAGGAGTCTTCTGGATGGCTTCAAAACATGAAATCTGAACTCCCAGAAAAATGTCTAGTGAGACCTACGTAAGCATAAGCTGCACTCCCACAATTCACAATTGCAAATCCTTCCCTAAGCACTCCCCGCTACATGCTGCACCTCTCCATACAAACACAACCTACCTTCACTTTCTTTTTCCAGGTAAACTGCCTTTATTTTCCTTCCTTGTGGGTGGTCAAGGAGGCAGGTCAATGCACGGATGTGGCTGGCAGAGAATGTAAGTCTGTTTGCCACTGTTACTGTCCCATTTGCGTTTTGGACGTGGCGTATTTCAGGGGACTCAAGCAGGTCTCCGTCATCCAGCCAGGTGATTTTGGGGGCAGGCTTTCCTGTTGCTGAGCAGACTGCAGTGAGGAGATCCTCAGTGGGCAGATGGGAATCATATTCCACTGTTAGCTCAGAAATTGCTGAGAGCAAAAAGAGAAGGTTCTTTTTAGGCTCTGTGGTGAGTTAATGGTCAAAGTGGATAGTTAACCTCTTTCTATGTGGGTTTTTACCCAAAAGCATCTTCCAGCTTATTTGTCATCACCTCCTCTGAGGGAAGGTAGAACAATTCTGGAGACTATCTACTGAGGAGATGCTGCTGCATAGAAATTTCTATGGGGTGGAAGGGACAATGCCTTCTCACCTCCTGACTGCATCGGACCTGTGCTGAGTGCCAGAAAGAGAGCAGGTGTTAGTGGAAAACTTACTTTGGATGTTGAGGCATATATCTTTGCTGAAAGAGCCATGAGGAAATACATTGAAAATGCATCTGTAGTAGGACTCATCCTCAAAAGAGAGATTTTGGAGTGTAATAGCTGAGTCCTTCAGGGTTATTCTAGTGAAATGCACCTTCTTCTGAAATGACCCTATTAACCTCAGCCCATGATTTGGGCTGTAGGTGGCTATGTTCTGGAAGGCAGACCCATTTCTCTTCTGCCAGGTGACTTGCAAAACGTCCATTGAGAGTGAGAAGTTGCAAGAGAAAGTTGCCTCTCCACCAAGGGCTGCTGCAATAACGCGATCAGATTTCACGGCTTCCTTCAAACCTAGGAACAATGCAAACCCCAAAATCAGAGCGAGAGGAAAAGCAATTCACTTAGGGAAAGCTACAGTGCCTTGGAGTACCCAGGCACAGCGTTCCCATCTTTCAGAGCACTGGAGCAAGGAACTCCACCACGAGGCTGAGTGGCACGCTGGGAGACCTCAGACACATTGGTCTCGTGGGTGGCCATCACACCATTAGCCTGTGCTGTGCATTTCCCATGGTGAGGAGGAAGGCAGCAGGGCAGCAGAAGGGCTCCTTAGCAAGCACAGCGAAGCCGATCCCCAGGCTCATTTGCCTGATGATTCCCAGCGTATTATTTTTAGCTCGCCTTTGTCCCCTGCAGCCCTGAGGTGTCCTGTACAGACCCAGCACTCGGCAACCAACCAGCAAAAGGGACTCTCATTCCTGGCAGCAATGTCTCTCGCTGGCACGTGCCCGGGAGGCAGAGCAGCCCAGGGCACCCCGCAGCTGGGAGTGCAACCGTGCCAACGGCTGCAGGGGGATATGCCCCAGCCTCAGACTCTCCCAACAGCAATGCCCACCACCCAGATGTGCACTGGAAACACAAACCAGCTCCATCCCTTGCACCGAGCCGTTTAGCAACATGTACAAAAAAAAAAGGGAATATGCAGGCTGAATATATGGCTTGAGTGCAAAGACAAACTCCATCCTGTGCCCTTCCTGACCTGCATTTCCCCATCTTGCTGCTGACCAGTCCCCAGATTACAAGCTGCTCTTCCTGATACCAGTTCGCATTTTTCAGTCAGGAGGGTGTCTGGGTCTCTCTGCTTGCCAAGAAAGGCTGGTGCTGCCCTGGAGTTAACCTCATGCAGGGAAAGGGCTCTCCACTCACCCATCGCCGGCTCCTCCAGCTGGCAGCCCCTGCAGAGCAGCAGGAGGCAGATCTCAGTCCAGCAAAGCAGGTGGAACAGCATCGTGGGACAGAGCACCTGGACGGGAAAGCTGGCTGCCTTTCCCTGCATCCCTCAGAGGGCAACTGGCCTCTGCCCACGTGGTTGGTTTAAGACTTTCTGCCTTTTTCAAACTCCTTCTTGGAGGCCAATCAGCAAGCTGTGGGGCAGGGGAGACGGGAAACAACCAGGAGCATGGTTAATCATTAATCTTGGTTAAAAGGCTTGTGGGTTAGCAACACAGCGTGGCTTTACTGGGACTTTCTACTCCACCAAACGGACCAGTTAGCAGAGTTGGATATAGAGAGCACACCCTCTTTTTGTCTCCAGCAGCACAGCTTGGTATTCCTCTTGGTAGCGCCATACTGCTGAGCTCTGCTCCAAGTGCCCTCGTGAGAACTTGCACCTCGCATGGTGTAAGTGTGGCATCTTCTTGGTAAGATGCCATTGCTTGGCACCAGCTCGCAAGCATACCGAAAGCACAAGTTGGATTATGAAAGGGGTCTCCTCTTTCCTTTGCCTTCTGGGTGAGCACGCTCTGCTGATAATACATTCCTTGGTTCTTCCCTCGATTTATGGACTAATGACCCCTTTAAGCAGAGCTAATGGAGGCAATAACCAGGGAAAGTTGTACAGGTTTAAGGAAAAGAATATGAAGCAACTGCTGCAAGTTTCCCTTGTTTAGCAGGGGAAGAAAATAAAGTGTTAAAGGACAACTGAAGTCAGTGCCACAGATTCAAGTAAAACCAAACCTGCAAAGTTTTACAGGTGTGAGGTCCCAGGCTGACTGGTCACCTGCTGGAGGCTTACAGGAGGACTGCTGGACTCTGCTGATTCAACTCCTGGCTCTGCACATGTAAATTAGCATATGCCCCTTAATCGTCAAATTCAAGCAATGCTTCCTCAAGCCATGACTGCTCAAAATAGGTCTAGTAGGAGGTCCAGCCTGGTCCAGATGGTCTGCCACCTGCTGTCATTTTCCTAGTAATTCAACCAAGTGATAGTGGACAAACCATGTTTTTTTCTCCCTAAAACCCACTTCCGTAACATGAGCAAATGCTAAAGGGTTGACAGTTTGATATCCTGGCCAATTTTTCCAGTGGAAACTGCACTGTGTTTTTATATTAACTTCTGCCATTCCACAGAGCCTCCTTCAGCTCTTGGGACAGACACACCAAAAGAAAGCAAGCTTAGGCATGTTATCTGGGTCTTGTGAGGCTGGCTTTGGGACAGCTTTGGTCTCAGCTTTCTGTTTTGTTCTGCTTCTACAACTCCTAATGTGTTTCCTTCTGAAAGGAAATGACACAACTGCCAGCACTGAAAGAAAGAATTCATTCCATTTCATCAGGAAGAACCAGAGAGAACTTCTAAACTCCTACCTGAAAAGTAGTGAAAAACAGGTCATCTGCCCCGTAGAAATCCAGTACCACACTGTTTTAAAAAAACCCTCAGGTGAGACATTCAGGAAAACTCGAGACTTTTTCTGCCTGTTTGTTTTCTGAGTCCTTGGTTTGACTCTAAGTAAAACTACAATTTGGGCAAGCATAAATCATGGACTCGCTGGCAGAAATACAGAGGTGAGGCCATTCCACTCCTTCAGCAAGCTCTGAATCACTCAGCTGAAGTACCACTGCTGGCTGTCTCACAGCACTGAGCCTACACGTTTCTCCTTAGAATTTCCTGGGAAAAAGTTGTTTTTGAAAAGTAGTAGTTGAACCCACTCGTCTCTTCTATTGTTGTGTTTATACACACACATTGATGTCATTCGATCACAGCCACAACTGAAGATCACATATGTGTCCAAAACTACCACGCAAAAAAACACAGATAAGTTCTCTGCAAAAGAAAAATGTAATGGGTGTTTGCATTCCTTGAATTAGAGATTTCTGGAACTAAAGGTGGACCCCCCCCCAGACAGAGCTTGTCAGAGGGATTTGGGCAGCCTACAAGTCTTCTCTAATAGTACAAAATGCCTACCATTCCCACTTCTCCTCAAACACACCTTCTTTGACCCATTGCAGGCCAGGCAAGCAGCTTGAAGATCAGACTTGGGAACATTTCCACATTTCCTTCCCTGGTCCTTTGCAAGAGCTCTTCCTCCAGGAGAGCAAGGCAGGACTGAAACTAAGTGCCTAGTTCCTTCTGTCAGTCCCTTTCAATACCTTCTCTTTCAGTGACCACAGTCAGTGTCTACCATAGGACAACACCCATAAAATCATTTCATCCTGTTGTTCCTGAATGTCTTTAGATACAGTGGTTGCAATTTCTGGATACCTGAGTGTCCTGGTTTGAGGAGTAGAATGGAACCAACTTTCTGTTCAGTATTTTCACTTCTTAGCTAAATCTCTTCTAGCTCTTTGAAATTAACAACAAATTGTGCAGAAAAGTTTGCTGTCAGAGTGATAAGACCTCTGTTTATAGTCAGCGTGAAGGAATGGTATACAGAAAGGCTCTTGCTTATACTTATTGCTATAATATATATTGATATAATATAATCCAGTTCCCATCCATTGCTGAGTCCAGTCTGGGACTTCCCAGTGCCTGCTGGTGATGTCATCCAGCAGCTTGATACAGTTTTCTATATATTGTATCTATTTCACTATCTTGTTTTTCATTCTACTATTAATATTTCCTAAAAGTAGCATAGTTCTTTCTAAACTCGTAAATCTCTTTCTCTCTCTCCTTCCTCACCTCGGAGTGACAGGTGGGGGAGAGCACCTGTTGTCCATCATTGGCCAACCTGGCCTAGACGACAGCAATGGGATAGGGTTGCTGGATACCAAAAAGATTGTTTGAAAGTCGAAAGAGAAAAAAATTAGCGTTCGTGAGTTACTGTTTTAATGGAAGAGTCACTGGAAGCATTTTCCCTTTCATTCCTGATCTCTCCCACTAGAGGGTACTCTGCTATCGTAAAGGAAAGGGCTCTGTGCTGAGGCTGCACCCTGACACATCCTCTTCAAAGAGCCTTTGCAAAGACATTGGAGGGACACTTCTAACACACCTCGTGTAATGATATGGAGAGCTGGAGGGGAAGCTTTCCAGCTCAAGCCTTTAAAAACTTAACTTTTTTCAAGATACCAATCTTGGTAACAGTTCCACAGCACAGGTCCTCCTGCCTTGTGAAATGGCAAAGGGTGTCCCGGGATACATCATCTACTCACTGGACCGTGCAGCTTGGTCCATGCTGATGGTCCCTCTAGTAGCTGCACCAGGGACCTACAGGCTCTGCCCCTGGTCAATGCTGGTGGCTGACACATGGTTTCTCTCACGTGGGTCTCTTCAGTTGGGCCCATAGCCCCGTGCTGCTGAGCTGGGCTATGAGTGCCCTCGTGAGGACTTGCACCCCAGGGTCCCTCAGGGATTTTTAGCTTCTCTTCCCTTCCCTGGCTCTATCTTCACTCTTCCTCTGATGCCAGCTCGCCTCTGTCTCATGGCTTTTGCTCCAGGCATAAGAGGAGCAACCAAGCATGAGCATTAGGGACCCACCTCGCTGTGACTTGAAGCAAGCCCCTAGGGGCCTGCTGAGGGCTGTAAATAGCAAAGCCTATGGCACATAATGGAGAAAGCTGTGGCAACACACGTACAGTCCCTTTCCCATGGTCAGATTTGCAAACCAAATTCAGTTGCTTTATTGACAAAGCAAACAAACCTCAAGAAAAACAACCGTTGTGGATTCTTGCAGAAGCAGCTCAAGGAAAGAAGTGGAGGGCAGAGAGATTGCAGCTTATGCTGTGGAGGTCACATGTGAACTTTTCTGGGTTAGGAGGGCCCAAGAAGAAGTGGAGGTATATACACTCAATGCACAAGGGCAGCTGCATGGGGAAGTCATAAGCAAACACACGGTCCTATCAAATGCTAAGCAGCCAACACAAATATCACTGCAACATGGATCTTGCATCTAAGATACAGTAGATAGAGCAGAGCAGATCTGTTTGTCTCTCATCATCCCCCAGAGCCTGGTTAGAGACAGGAAAGCAAAGCCAGTTGCAGGCACCAGTCGAGTGTCATATGCATAAAGAGCTCTCTGGAGGTTTATTTTCAGGGTTTTTCCTATGTGAGAGGAAATGTTGGTGCAACCATCCTAAATTATGCCCCCTTCTTCCCTTCTAGAAAATCTTCATTATCCAGGCAGCAAGATGGGTTTGCTTATTTTTATTACAGCAACATCCTTTACCCCCCCCCCCCC